CCTGCATCTCTTCTTCCCTCCCACTCTGAAAAAAGTGGCAGGCAGGAAGGCAGTGCAGACACAAGTTACAGAAGGCACTTTGTTTTGAAACATCTTAATCTGACCCCTCATGTAATGATGACACAGAAGTGTATGGCTGCAGACATCTTAAAAAATGACTGATGGGTCATTTTTTAAACTGTCTGCAGTCCTGCACTTCTGTTGGGTCATGGCCATAGACTGTTTTCTGTGGCCAGATTGGGTGAAAAATTGTTACTTTTGTCTGTACTCTGAGTCTCTGTGCATCTCCTAAAATAAGAAGGATAGCAATTTTCTACCTCAGAAAGGTGTGCTAAGCATAATGACTGTGGAGTACTCCATGGGGAAGTGCATCCCTAGGCTGAGATTATATTTAATCTGAGTATAAAAGTTCTTCCCACCACCTGATTTGAAAAAAAAAAATTAAAAAATCATGCATTGACTCTAGTCAGGATTGGTTGGGTTTTTTATGTTGACGAACAGCAGACTTTCTGACTTCATTCCAACCAAAAGCTGCAAAACTTCCTGTGAAACGACAATTAGATTCTGCTCAGGAATTTTCCTATTTTGAGCTTTTTTCAAATTTAAAGTGACTGTTGACATTTCAGGAAATTCAGGCTAAAAATAGTCAAACCACTGAGTTGGTTCATGAAAACTTGAAATTTAGTTCTCAAATCCAGATGCAAGAAATGGAGGGGGGGAGGATTTCAGTATCTCAGAAAATTTTAATCGGACAGGGAAATCATTTCCTGCATATATAACCAATGCACACCGAGACTTTTATAGCACATTAATGAAGCTGCAGCTTATAACCACCATTGATTTAGGTTGATTTAAGGGAGACAAGAGGACTTCTTACCTAAAGATTTTTTTTACCTGCTGCAATGATTTAATATTAACTATTTATGTGGTTTCTTCTTTTCACTTTTTTATCTGCTGAATATTTCAGTGTTTTATTGCTTTAATGTTCTTGTTTGTGAGGCACTGAGAATGCTCTGGTGCCATAAAAATAAAATTTATTCTGATTGTTATGTTATATTATAGTTGTAGAAATAATGTGACGTATTGATGACTTTTATTTCCCACTGGTATGAAAAATATACATAAGATATGTTATGTAAGAAATATGCCTGCAGCAGAATACTGAATTACCTGCTCTACTCTTCTCAGCCAAGTTCTGACTACTGTGTGAATTTTGACCCCTTTTTAAATGGTAACACAAAGTACTTGCTATAATAGCCCAGTGCAAATCCTATTTCATGTCATACTACCCATTTTAAAGAATGGTTTGAATCAACAAAAGCAAAGAAATTCGATATTAACAGTAGTACTTAACTTAGCCATTAGGCTTAGGTATTACAGAGAATACAGCAGAGTTGCACAGACTTTTCTGCATTGATTCCTGCAGTTGAAACGCATTTGAAATTGCTCCAGCAGCTCTTTTGTTCAGTTATGTAATGTTTTTAGTTCACCAAGTCACTGCCTTGATTACATCCGATAATTTGCAACTTGAATGATAACGCTACTTGACACTTCCATCTTTTACTCTGTCAACTTATTTGTGAGGCCTCAAATATTCTCAGTGGTCAAAGTGAAGAGGAGCAAGCAGTTAAAGGGACAGCGATGAGAGGATCCCAGAAAGGTAAAGACTCCTGTTTGGTGTTTGTTTCCAAAGTACACACTTTGCTTAATGTTGGCCAACTGCATAAGGGTTTTGCATGGGGGTTTTTTTTAGGATTTGGCACACTACAGATTAAAAGGTCTGGTTATTGCCAGCTACTAGCATTCAAGAATCATGAGTCAGCCGTCCAAAGCACTGAGGTTTGCAAAAAGGAATCCTGACTTCTTCCTCCTTCCCTGTTATGTTTAGGCATGAAAGGGTCAAGCTGTGAGGCTAGGAATGTTTTTACAATGAAAGCTGAGAGTCTAATGTATTCATGTAACTCCAACAGCTCAGGTATTGAGCTGCCCAGGAGGCCCTTCTAGTCCCATGTTCTTTCCCTTCTCAACTCTCCCACCATCAACACACATATTACTAACTTCGTTATACTCCCTAAACCCTATGAACTGGACAAGGGGGCCTAACATGGAGTTTGTCCCACCCATGCAAACAGACCCGGTCAACACCCAGGGTTATCATAGAGGCATAGGAGGGCTTCCACAAACTTACACAAGGTTTGTGGATGGGCTCTTCAACCCCTTTTATGGTGAATAATCCTTTTTGCTGCAGAGTGATTATAGAAAAAGCTCTCCATAGGGAAATTCAGAGAGAGCTCTTTAGTCTTCCCCCACTAGATTCCCCTACCAGGGGATAGTAAGAGTCTGATAAGAAGGCATTTTGTTGGGGGTTTTTTGGAAGGTTAGACTAGAAATCAGAAAAAAGGGAGGAAGAGAGAGAGGATGGAATACCTCCAAAATGTTGCTGGCAATCGTGCATGTGGCGTTCTTCTTCCCTCTGTCAGGAGGTAATGGAAAAATAGCTTTCATGGGAGGAGATAGGGGGACATTGAGAAAGATGAGAATTAAGTTGATAAAGGCAAAGAGGGTGGAAGACACTGTAAGCACTAGGTAATGGGGCAGAGCAGCAATGAGACACTAATTTCAGTTAAATCAGGCCTATAATCAAGCCTGTAAGCTATGTATCATTTATTCAAACCACACCCCACTATATTCAACCCTATAACTACAGCTGGCAAGTGTTTTAACTGTCCCCTGACAGCTTTTTGAATCCAAAACCCAATGCAATGAAAAAAATTTAAATGTTATGTCACAGCTGAAAAAAGGGTGAGACTGCTGATAGCTTACAGCTGTGGCAAACTTGCTAGAGCCTCCCTGGTGTCTGTGAGTTATGGAAATCTGCCTCTCTAATGATACGCATCCAGTCTGACTCCAAGCCTAGACTGCATGATTTTAGGCAAATCCATTTTGGGAAAGTTCTTTCCAGGCAAAACTGTTAACTGTTCAAGAAAGAAGCCAACCCATAATAACCAGCACCAAGTTAGGAACACTGTAGGGAATGAAATGTAGTTACCTTAAAATGTAATAAGGGGCCAGTAAAGGTTAGCAGGCCTGGAGTTTATCCTGGGCCTTGTTTAGTTTATGTTCATTCATTTAGTATGTGGCTTTGCACAAGCCTCCAATTATCTTCTGGGATTATAAACCGTAGGCCACATGTTGCTGTCCTTTCTCCAGAGGAACTTCATGGATGTTGGTGAAATTACCCTGCACTACTAGCTCAAGAGCTAGATTATTTTTCCATTGATAAAGAGGTCATGAAAAGTGTCAACATTCACAACAACCATTGGCAATTAATTATTTATAAGTTTTCAGGCTGGAAGGGAACATAAAGACCTTTAGCTCGACCTACGGCAGAACAAATGCCACAGAAGGTTACTAGTAAACCGTGCTCTGAGGGGCCTCTGGGCAGGATTTAGAGCAGTATAGCCAAATAGAAGTTTTGCACATGGAGACAACTTCACTGGCCAAAGAGTCCCAGGTCAAAGATTAAGTCCAACCCTACACTTATTAAAGTCAATTATAAATACCCCAGGGATAAATAGTGCAGGGACAATTGAATAGTTCCTCTCTTGCACTACCTCCTTGTGACATTATCCTGGATGCCATAGCTGGTTCTCCCTCTGAAGTCCTCCCTGTTCTAGGACACTGTATTTGTATGCCAAGCCCACAGTATCCAGCACTACCCTTACTGGTAGTCATCTATATAGATTTTCCATCCTTTCAGGGCTCCTGTTAAGACACTTTTCTGTCCCAGCAGCAGCTCCTAGGTCACCCCGTGGAGTCCCACAGCAGCCCTCAAAACCCAACCAAAAACCTATTTCAGCCTGCTCCAGACTCACCTCTAGATTACTCCAAAAGCCCCATATTATATGGACTAGAAAACACTGATCCACAAAGCTCCCTTGGGTGACTTGTACCTGCTTCAGGGCCAATCCCTTCTCTTTGTTCCCTTCCCAAGAAAACAAAGCAGCTCACTACTCTGAGCACCTTCCTTTACCCAGGTGAGTCTGATAACAAACTGACTTACAGATGCAAGAGGTGGGCTAATCAAGCCCTTGGTTTTCCATTAACCCTTTATTGGCCCATGTGGAGTTATGTATTCCCTCATAAATCAAGAAGCAAATGGAAAGAAGCAGAAGGGGAATTACAAACCGGGGCATTTTTATTGCACTCCTGTGCCTCTATTAACCTTATGCTTCTTAACTTGTGAAGTCTAACAAATGATAGTTACAGAGCCTACTGTGTCATTAAAAAGAAATGAAAAGTCACGCATAAATGAAGTGTAGAGAGGCAAAATCCAAGGGTAGTTTTTTTTTTAGGGTTTTCTTTCTTTACACTCCCCCCCTGCAAAAAGATCCTTCAGCTCATTAGACTGGTGTGGTCAAGGCACTCCAATTTATATACCTGACAGCACCCAAAGGGGCTAGCATCACCTCTGTCCACCTCCAACTCCCCACTCCAAGTGGCCAGGGACCCATTTACAGCTGGGTTGAGTAGGGCAGGCTTAAACTTGTACCTCTGGAGTTTCAGTGAGATGCCTTAACTGCTCAGCTACTACACCCCTTTTTATTTACTGTATAATTGCAAACACATATGAATTGCCTTTTTTTAGAGCTACTTCAGAGATGTCTGAGAGCCTCTAGTAGCACTTATCTGATAGTAACTTGCAAAAGTTAGAAAGCTAAAATGAAGAAAACTAAGACAAGTTATTTTGGAAGTCAATATGCTGACTTTAGATGTAATTTCAGTAACAATTCTCTTAAAGATCACACTGCATCAGTTTAGTGCTACCCCAGAGAAAAGAAGACCCCTATTGCATGGTATAAAATAGTTCCTGAAATCTCTTGAGGCTTCTTCATGGTCTCTTATCCAAGCAGGAATATGGCCCAAGTCTGTTTAGATAATGACATGCGAGAGTATCACAGTATAATAAAAATGATCAGTAATAACGTTATGGCACTAACCTTCAGGTCCACAAATTTCTGGGTTACTAATGCAAGAGTTTTGGTAGCTTCCGAAGAAGAGAAAGGTAACTCCTTTCTTTTCGGTGGCATAAATTCCTTTGTTGACCATCCCTTCTACAATATCTAAGGAAGGAAATTTAAAAAATAATCACTTAATATTCCTATCTGCTGAAACCGTCTCAGGACACATCTCAAATGCCCCAAGTATTTTTAATGAGTTTATCTTTCTAACTCCCATTTTTTAAATAAAATTAATGAAAAATACAAATTACCATCTTCTGATATTTTGAATTCTACAAAACTTATAAACATCCTTTCCGTGACATCTTACTCAGCTAAATAAATTCTTTAACTGAACCAACAGGACCAGAAACTATGACTTTATAGGCTGTGTAAACTCTACAGAATCCAAAATTGTGAATGTAGATTGGGCTCTATCGTTGTTTCAGAAATAGAGCTGTTCAGGAAATTATTCACCAGCTGTGAAAAATGTTGACAAAAACTACTTAAAATCCATTTTCCAAAAAGATTAAAAAAGCCATTTTCCAAAAAAATAAAATGTGGAGAATACTCATCCAACCCTATTCAGAAGGCAGGAAGTTGTGTCCTTTGAAACAGCCCCTGGTATGCTAAGTGAGTGATTTCATTAGCATCTGAAAAAGCTGTGGCTGTCTAATACCTTGGTAACACCTTGTGATTTCCTATTGTCTTCATTACTAAGAAACCGATTAAAAAAATAGTAATAACAACACCCCCTTGTGCCACTGTGCCTTGTGTTGTGCCCTGGGGAATGCCTGTGCCAGGCACCCTCTGGCCCACAGCAGGTTACCCCAGATTGAGTAGGGGAGGCTGGGCAGCCTTACCTGAGGTCTTAGGGGCTTCCTGGGGCTGCAGCAGCAGCAATCCTGCTGTTCGGAGCCTGGCCGGCGGCCAGAGCATGGCTGTGGCCATCCAGGCTCCGGTTTTGAGCCACTGCCTGCACGCTGCCTTAGCCGAGTAGTGCATGCTTTTTGTGTGCATGTGTGTGCGTGCAGGTTTATTGATCCCCGGATACCCGCCCCTGCTTCCTTGCAGCACAGAAAACAGCTGAACATGTGGTATGTGACACCACAGATGTGTCTGCCGCACCACATACTGCGTGGCTGCGCTCGTCTGGATGCGGCCTATACAGACAAAACACTTTATTTTTACCACCAGCTAAACTGATTGAGGTCAGGCTTATACACTTGCCCAGGGTTGCTATTCTATTACTTTTTGATATTAATAATTCTAATTCTGATAAAGCTAAGATGTATTTCACCCTTTAAAGTTTTGACAGCAGAACTCTGAGCGCATCCATACCCAATGCTACTCTGCAGTGCCAGACCCTCCTTTCTGCTACCAGTTTTGCCATTTTTGCTAAGCGCACTAAGGTGCCTGCCATCTCTCAACAGCTGGCAGAAGGCACATTAGATATAGATACTTCTGCCACCTTTAGTGGTCCCTTCAGTAGCTGGTGCATTCCCAAGGGTACATTTTGTATTCTGGCAGCACCAGAGTGTATAAAGCTGCCAGAAAGCCCAAGGACACCTTCACAGTGACTTTCACTTTGGAATAGCTCGTGTGTATCAGTGATTCCTAGGTAAAAGTAAATCTTTTTCTTTTTTTCTTCAGTGAAGAAGATGCATCACAACACTTTATTCTGCAGAACACAAAATATCCCAAGACTTTTTTATATAGTTTAGGTAGGTACAATGTAATATTACTGATTTTGAATTTGTCATGGATAGTAGGGTTAATATTGCCATGGCAATTGTGCCATGCCTTCTGCAAGGTAAGTGAGATTTCAGGGTCTTAATTTTATGCCCCCCAAGTACTGCGTTCTGGAAAAGGCACTTCCTAGGTAAGGGTGGTACCAGGGCAAGTAATGGCAAGAATAAAATATTTTTTTCCCCTCCTAGAAGATACCAAATAGCATCCCAGTTAAGAAATAGGGCATTTGTATCAGTGTGAGAGAGATAAGGAAAGACTGTTGAAGAGTGAGGACATAGTGAGCTTTCTTTCATATGTGTCATCTGTTTATTGTCCTGGCTCAATAACAGTCCCCTTGAACAGTAAAATGCAGAGACTCTTATGTGCCCCCAAATCTCAGCTGTGGAAACAGGACAGTGACCACATCTTCCTCTGCACTTGCCTAGACTGATGACTAGAAGCACTAACAACACGACTCAGAGAAGCTCCAACATTTACATTCCCCTTATATGGTGGGGACTTGGAGCAGAGAGCAGTTGTACCGTGAAGCCGATCTGCAAATGAACACCCAGCACAAACTTTGAGGGAGAGCAGACAGCAGTCATGCTCCAGTGCATCTGGCCCAAACTCTTTTTTGATTTATCTCACTGTCCATAAAGCACAGTTTCTAGGTATTTGTTCCTCCTCTAAGGCAAGAAAATCGATAGGGCTTATCTGTGAATCTGTAAATGTGCTTGTTAATATATTGGAGTCCAAACGACATAAGGCAGTGACATGCAGAAATCCTTGAATTAATTCTGCACGTGCTAGCTCAGGGACTGAAAGCAGTAGTGCCACATTAGCGTGGTACTGTGTACAGATTAATAAATAAGTTGTGCTTCTTAGCAGAGCTAATTAGCTGGGATGCAGCTGTGTGCTAGAGTTTACTAGTTTACAGTATGTGCAGAGTTTACTCCGTTATCTCTCCATGGTGCAGCCTTGGATCATATAGACATAACCTAGAGTGGGTCCATTCCAGATAGCGTTTAGTTTTTGAAATCTTCTAAATCATTAGCAGTATGAAAAGAAACACATTTTCTGGAATTCTTTATGAGCAACTTTAGACTCTGAATTAACCTTGCCAGGATAAATCCCATAGGATAATGCATTTCTGCTTCCATAGTATTTCATTTGGTATAGTTGTCACTCATTAATGTTCACATTGAATATATCTTGTTCTGTGAGACCTATGCAAATAGCTACAAAGCAGATAAGTGAAGACTGAAAGGAATTAGGGTCATTTGAAGTTCATTTTTAATGGACTTGAATCACCAACACATCCTTACAGTAACCAGGCAGAAAAATACAGTATGGAAGTCTTTCGGCTTTTAATACCAACCTTTGTGAATTCAAGTTACCCAAATGGCAGCTATATAAACATTTTCCAGCTTCATAATCTCACTACTCACTTAACCTCTTCTAATAACAATACACAATAATGTGTATTGATACTTAATCACGAGTGAGTCAGATTCTAGTTACTGTTTCAGTGATATAAATCTAGAGCAAGCCCACTGACTTCAATTAAATTACTTCAGGTTTATGTTGGTGTTGGTGTGAGATCTGAGCCAGATTTTGAAGATTTTGTTGGAAGTGCCTGCCTGGGTAGTCATTATTTTCCATTCTGCTTGTTCGTCTTTTGATGTGTTGGCTGATGTCGATGTAAAATTGTTTTCATTAAGTACACATGCACCTGCAAGGCCTCTGCCTGCTTTTTCTATTATTTTAATCAGAAATGTCATGATGGAAGAGTTCCCATTTTCACTTTCCTCCAGCAGAAGTACTTGGATTTTACTTTTCTAATCTGTTGCTTGAAAATAGCCACGCCTTGAAAAAACTTTTTTATATGTGGCAAATCACTGACATGAAGAGAGAGTTCTGATTATACTGAGGTTTCCTCCTGACTGGCTATTTACTTAATTATCACTAAGGGAGTTTGGCTCAACTATTTTGTGGTTTCTTGGGTATTTGAGGCCAAACCCTACTGTTTTCACTCCCAGGAGTGGTTCCAATGAAGCTGTTCAGCTGTTCATGCAAGTAAGAGCATGATCAGGTCCTTGCAAAACTAAATTCTCTTCTCACTTACCCAAATGTATATCCAGAGTAACTTGATTGACCTTTTTGTAGATTTTAAGCCAATGCAAGTATCATTTAAATGACAAGATCATTTAAAAATGAAACAAAATTTAGTTTTAACTTTTGATCCCAGTGTTATTATACCCATCCAAGTTTGACAAATACACAAACAAAAATAATTAAATCCTCACCTACAGTTGCAGAGAAGTTAGAGTAGGCAGAGTCATTGGTATATACAAAGGTAGAGTTATGGGAAGGAAGCACAGTGAAGTTGTGGATTCTTAGAGCTGGGTGGAACAACAAAACAAAATAAGCAAAACAATGAATAAACACAAAATCCATATGAATTGGCCAGTCCATATCTCTCAACTAGCGCAGACCAAATATTCACTAGTGGCCCTTTGAACTGTAATCAATCGAGTTTTCCCCATCCCTTTTCTCTAAAGACGTGTCTGCACAGAGAGGTTATGGCACTTTAACAGTATGACGTTCGATGGTATAAAATCAGTGCAGACGTTGTTATAGGTACAAGTGCAACATTCCCATAGGAAAAAGGGAAAGGCTATACCCAGTAAAACTGCATATAATGTTAGGGGTTATATTATGTAATTTTATAAGTAAAAAGATTCATACTGAACCAAAATAGCTAAACACACAAAATCCTGATTTAGACCAAATCTAAGGGAACCTGGCAAGCCGGTGACATTATAATCACTACATTTAAAAGGAGAGCATCGGCTTTAAAAAGTCACACTTGTCTCTGAAACAAAAGTAGATAACATATTTCCAATACTTCTTAGCCATAACTGAGCGATATTGGAAAGAAAACATTCTCTGTTATTTCAGTGTACCTATTTTGAACCATTTTGCATACAGTCATTTTCACTGTTTTATTCTGACTGAAATAATGGCTTGATCGAAAGCCCATGAAATCAGTGGAAAGACGGCCGTTAATTTTGGATCGAGCCCAGAGTAAACAGAATCTTTCATACGCAAGAAAAACTCAAACCCAATATGGTGACCCTGACTCCCAAAACAGCGAGTGGTTGAGAGATATGAAACTGGATTCATACATAATGACTTCAACAAATAAAATGGAAGATGAACAAGCGTATGATGCTCCAAGGGTTTATGAGATGAACATGAAATGAAAACGATTGCATGACATTACGATGAACAGAAAAACAACAAGAGATATTCTAGCAGTGAACGGAAAAGCTGCATAATCAAAGCGCTACCAAAACCAGGAAAATTGTCCCCTGCATTAGAATACAGCAATAAAGAAAACCTTGCCTTTATGCTAGATTCAGCCTTCAGATGCAGAGACACAATTTCTATTGAGGCCAAAGGGAATTACATGTACATATTAGATGCAGAACATAAGCAACTACAAACTGAGAAAATAAATTATCTACAACAACATGAAACAAAGAATTCAGCATAGCCATAGTCACACCAAATTTAAAACAAAAACAAAAACCCAAAACTTTTAGGTTACTGGCATCCTTCTGGAAATATGAACTGAGGCCCAGTCCTTCAAACCTCTTCTTAGCTAAGCCTTCCCAAGAACTCCAGAAGTATTCGTATGAGCAAACACTATTCTTGTGAGCAATGACCTTGTAGGATTGAGCCTAATAAATTATGTATCAATTATATATTTGAAACAGCTTCTGAATTTCAACAGCTATTGTTTCTTTCTGAAATCAAGCCGTTCCCAGCCTTAATCAGACAACTATCATTCTTTTTTTAAAGAGCTGCATTTGGTTTCATATACTTCATCTTTGTACTACAGATGTCAAGAGAATATACTCCAGGAGTGATTTACTCTGACTTATGCTAAGTGATGTCTATTGCCAGATAAATGATATATTTACAAGTAAATAAATTGATACTGTGCTAAAGAATTCTACAAGTGAATTGTTCATAGGTCACATCATGGTCCCATTGAAGACAATGGAAATGTTGCCATCAACTTTAATGGGGCCAGCATTTTCTCAGATTTATTTGCAGCAATTTAATTATCACTCCTATAAAATATGTCTTGGACAGTGGAGCACTTAAGTGTCTCTGAAAACAGAGAGTTTTTGATGCTTGTAGACCTTATATTGCATCTCTTTCCAAACTGTGATATAAAGGCTCGTCCTTTTTTTAAATAGTGATATTTTGCACTTGTGTAGAGGTTTTTGTTTGAGGTTCCCAAATTCTTTCACTTGTTCTTTAATCCCCTTCATTATCCCTTTTGAGTAGGGAGGAAAATATCGTCACTGGGAACTCAGTTACTGATTAACAGGGCCATGCGATATTACAAAATAGCTGAGAATGGAGAGGGGAGCTGTCAGGTCCTGTGTGAGAAATGGAGGAAGCTGGGATGTAATTACCCAGGGTGGAATGTGGCTAAAACACCAGCGTTAAAATGCCAGCTCGTGTGAAAATTGCCAAGATCTTTAACAGTCACAAGCAGCTGGGTGTGGGACCTTAGCTTTATGTTTTGTCTGAAAGGGAGCCGCACAGCGTTCCCATAATACTGTGCAGTGACACTGTGGTTCAACAAGTGCTAAGCCAACACCACTAACTGTATCCCCAGGACTTTTTGGAAGTCCTCCATCTCCCACTGCATTCCTGCAATATTAGTTAGTCCACAAATGACACTTCCAATTCAGGAAATGACCTAAGCCAGTAGTTATGCTGCACTTTGATATCACGTCTGACTGAGAGTGGGATCCTGCCATCTTTGAGAGCTTTACCTGAGTAAGGCTCTGGGGATTTGGTTCAGTTCGAAGTACTACTTTGGACAATGCTGCAGTATGGACTTTCAGGAAGGGTTTCCAGAAGTGAGTAAAGGATTTTTAGATTGCAGCCCAGCCCACCTCTTTTAACTATATGGAGATGACTATTTACAAGTTTCAAAATGTTTATGGCAGTGTGGCATTCAACTTAAACTGACAATCAGAGAGATGGGCACCTGTTTCAATAGGCATAGCTGAAAATCCCACCCACTATGTATATTTGTGCATGTTATGTATGTACCAAAGCAGCTCACTATTTTAACGACACTTTAGATCACAACCAATTTCTCTTTATGTCCCTAAGAATGTGTAGGTCGGTCCTAAAATGTTTAAGAATAGTTTTTAAACATAGCTTTAAAATGCAAAATGATTTGGAGGCTGCCAAAATATTGCTCTATAAATAGATCTCAACTGCCAGGGCTCTAAAGCTAATTTCATTAGCATTTGTTTCTCCTGCTCCCCTTCTATTTACTGACTGTCACAAATACTTATGTTACTGTCATTGTCATGAATCCCACGGCTACCTCCACTTGTATCCCGAAGCTCATGGATTCCATCTACATCTTCCAGTGGCCAGTAGTGGGAAGCTGAGGCTAAAACTTTGAACCCTTTCAAGAAAAGAAAGATAGGAAAAAAAAAGGTCATTAGTATGTGGTTTAGGGATGAGTGTACCAGTCTCCTCGGAGGCCTAAGTGTAGCAACTAGTAAATGAAGGAACAAAGGGTTAACTGCAATAAAACATTTTTATATAAACCAAACCCAGCACACAAGCTGGGAGCATTTGAAATAAATCAAAATAAATAAATAGCACTGGGAATAAAAGCCATGTGTTATGCAATGCGATTTTTGATTGTGCACTGAAAGGAACCTCTGTCTTACAAAGCTGTGCACTTATCTACGCTAACGACATTAGAAATGCATACACGAATAAAACCAGATCTTCTGGAACTAAAGTTACCATCTGAGTTTCTGGTCCTAATTTCATACCCTCCCATTCGTATTACCATAAAGAGCCACGCTTTTTTAAGTCACTGTGTTTAGACCATCTTGAGAGCAACAGGCGCCAGGCAGAGAGGCCTCATATGCCACGTGGAGGAACGTATAGAACAGGAATCCTGTAGCATGCCTCCTCAGTAGTGTAACTAGGGTGGGAAAACTGGGACAGCCACCCCAGGCGCTGAGTTAGAGCTGAGGTTAGGGCAGGGGGAAGCAGAAAATACCGCTGTTACTGCAACCATGTAGTCAGTGGCACGGCAGCAGCTGGAAGTTACCACTATCCCTGTGCGTCACAACTGTCCCGGGCACCCAGCTGCATTGTGCCTCTGCTCCTCTCCCTTTCTTTACATATGTGGAAGTCCCTCCACAAAAGCTCCAGGTCTTCAAAATTCAAGGGGACAGTGGGTGCATCTACATGTGCACATTTACTGCACAGTAACCAAAAGTACTGCATAGTACAGGGATGTGTCTACATATGCACATCCATACTGCGCAGTAAATATGGTGATTTATGCCAATTTGAGCATAAATTTGATACTTGCGCTATGCAGGTATCAAATTTATACCCAATTAGTCACTGTGCAGTAATGCACGTGTAGACACCTTACTGTAGACAGTAACACTGTGTGTGTGGACTGACTTGGAACTAACTTTAGTCCCAAATCAGATGCCTGTACATGTAGATGCGGGCCTATTCCCGGTTATTGTGCAGTAATCTACTGTGCAGTAAATTTAAGCTGATGTAAATGCACATGTAGACATGCCCATTGAGAAGAAACAACTTAGATCCTCAGGATTCTTGCTCTGCCCCCAAAGCCTACAGTAGAAGGCAGCACAAGTGAATCTGCCTTCAAGCTATATTGATCTATTCTGTTTTTACTCTTTATTCTATGGAAGGATGTTGGGAAGTTAGCATTAGGAGCCTGTTGGAGCCATAATGTCCTGGGTCAAGCTGGTGTACAGGACCCAGCAGCAAAAACACAGGCGTAGGGAATGCTTACTGAGACTTGGGTGGATTTGTGAGTGAAGCAGGCAGAACCCCACCCTTCTGTGGAAGGAGTTTCCCCACTGCTCTGAAGATGGCATTTAACAATACAAAAAAACGCATATAAAAAGAGTTAACAACTGCTCAGCCTGCAGCACTTGCTATTTCTTCAGAGCCTTGTTTTCCACATCAAAAAAACCCAAAACAAATAAAATAAATCCTGGGGCGAATAAGAACATTTTGTTTCTCTAAATGTCTTCTTTACTTGCAGATGGCTGCACTGAGCTCCAGGTGGACAAGTTGACAAAAGCAGAACATTGGATGGTTCCTATTTCCCGATGGCAGATTTATCTACAAGATTTAATTGATGTCAGCTAGAAGACATTTAGAAGATGTGAATTCTCAGGCTGGAGCAAAAGCAAGCTGCCCAGAACAATTAAATGCTGGGTTAAGGTAACAATTCTATTTTAAGGGCACGGCATTAATAATGTAGGCAAACATGGATGTTTTTGTTATCTTCTTGCTTGAAAGAAACTCTTTATTCTTGGGGTAACTAATTTAACCAGCTGTGTTGGAAAAGAATGAGTAATCAGCTGGAGCAAAGAAAGTTTTAGAAGGATGAAACAGTAAAAGTCTCTTGTTATTGCAAATGAGCATGTTTTGTTTATCATGGCAAATCATTCGATTGGCATGAATTAATTAGCTGCTTTTTTCAGGAAGAAGAGAGGGCTGCTATCTACAAAAGCAGCATTTCCAGAGGCTATTTTTTAACTATTTTCAGCTATGTTTCTAATTGAATTTTCTGGCTGAAATATACCTGAAAACCAGGTCCACAAAACATATGCCACGGAGAGGTCCCTAGGGTCCTCTCAAAAGCCTTGCCCAACTGCTTTCTTTGTCCCATTTCTGTTTTTGCATCATATTCTCCAATTTAGTTCATGGAATGATCTCCCTGTCCTCCTACAAATCCTCATGAACTACTTTTGTTAACCCTTTCCATATTAGCTCCTTCCCAACACCTCAAGCACTGGACAGGAGAAGAGTAGACTAGGATGAATAAAATCATTAGCTGAAAGTTTACCTCTGCCTCTCATGCATGTATATTATTGTGATATATTTTTGCTGTTATGTTGGACTGCACTCTTCATGCCTAATTTCAGGCTTGGGTCTGCAGATGCTAGTTTGTATGAATAGTCCCATATAAAAAAATTGGACTGGCAAGGAGTGGTTTCCATGGGGCTTCTCTCGGAGCAGGTATTACTGATCACAGTAAGGTCCTCAAAATGATTTAGTGTGGTCCCTGAATATACATTATGTGGTGCTGCTAACTCTTTCTTCCTAGAATTGGGTCTGGTTCTCTGGCACTCTACCAAGGACGTGGGCAGTGTGGGGGCAGGAGGCGGGCACGTTAAAAAATGAAGACAAGTCACAGAGGTGCAGAATGGAGCCCCGCTATTGTGCAGTAAGCATGCTGCCCAAGCATTCCAGGGGCCTTGTAAAAATGTGGTGTGCAAGTTAAGGTGACCCCAAGAAACTTTCCCTGGATTTTTTCCCTA